GTTTGGGTCACCTTATCATGAAGGCAGGGAACAAAAGAAGCTATTTGAGGGAGCAATCATCTTCACATTCAGAGGTTTGAGTAGTAACGTGTGAACACATAAGTTAGGAGGGAAGTGCAAAGACCTTTCTTCACTCTGGTCCCTGAGTGAACATGGAGTCCCCTTCAATTCTCAAACTCCTTTCAAGGGGCCAGGAATCGACAAGCTGCTGATAGCCTTAGTGATGTGCCCTAAGATTGTGTCATAGATTCAGTGACTTCCAGCAACCTGTGACATTTACTAAAAATATCCATGACAAAATCATAGCCTTTTACACATCACTAACCAAACTTTTAATACTATAGGTACCCATCGATGTAGAGTTCAAATGACAGCTTTAGAAAAAGCAGCAATTCCATATTGAAGGCTTTTTTTTTTTTTTAAAAAAAACCACTAGAACCACTGCAATGATACTGAAGTTGTGCTACCATATGGATTTAGGGCCCCTAGACTTTGGCCATTGTTAAATGCTGCACCTGTGCTTTATCTGGTGTGGACCAATGAGTCTGAAATGACCTTCCACAGGACAATAGTTGCAAGGTTAAAATGCAATTACTTGAAAATTCAGATTGGTGAAGAGGAGAGTGAGATCTACAGAAAAACAAATTTCACCCATGACTTAACAGCTAGAGGTACAAATTCTCACTCTCCCTATAATGGAATGCTGAACTGTGTTATACTGTTCAGCCAGTAGCTAGCACTAGTGTGTATCACTTACTTATTTAAGCAAACTTCACCCGTACCTGGCAGTACATAAAAGGATCTTATGGAAGACATTTCTGGTATCTCTCTTTGAGAAGGAAGCTCTGTAGTCAGTCCACATCTGATACAGAAGCCTGATCTGTGAGTAGGAGCCCTGCAAGAAATACATGATACTCCCTACCCTGATTCCCAGCAAATTAACTGAATAAAATGGAGTCTCTTGAACAGTTATATCTTATTTCTCAGAGAACTGGATAAACCCCAAAGGAAACAAAGAACTGAAGCTGTGGAGCAGACTCTTTCCAAAGCAAGAACTTACTATAACCTAACAGATGCCTCAATATTAATGGTCTCCAGGGTAGAATGTGTTTCTGCACTGTGGGGAACAGAGGAAAGTTAGCATTAGGGTGACAGTCATACATTAGTACAAGATTCCTTGCTGTTATGTTGATTTTTCCAAGCTCATATATAAAGGAATGCCTCATTGAGGTAGTTCCACCAAGGTTTAAAAACGCTGCAGGTTCATTAGATATAGTTACACAAAAAGAAAATAAAGAGAGGAACTGCGTGTCTAAGTACCTAGAAAGGCATGACGTAGAGCATTAAGTGCTTGGGAAACATGGTTGAGATATCTGGGAAGTGGACAAATAGGTTATATGTGCACACAGGAATGCTGTGTGAAAGAGGTAAGGCATACGGACAACTTCTAACGAGGCAAGTAACAGCAAGTTGCAATCCTGCTCTTTCAGGTGAAACAGACAAGTTCAAAAGGTTTCTGCTTGTCTGAGCCACATGAAAGCTACTCCCAGCTAAGGGAAGGAATAAGAGAAGTAGACAAATGGATTATTTAGCTTCTGTGCTGAACTGAGTCATATATGTACTCCTGGTGGTATCACCCAGTGCCAGAAGTTACCTGTTATACACGATATGATACTTCGTTGAAAAATATTGCCCTTTAGGGGATATCGAAGGTGTCAGTTTTGTTTTCAACCAGGGTAGATAAAAAGGTGCTTTTAAAGACATTTAAAAATTTAAGTTAAATAAAATGTAAATGAAATACAGATTTAACTATTAAAATGATTTAAAATTGAATTTGAAATTATGACAACCTATGTTAATACAAAAACTTCCTATAGCCTATTAAAATATTTAAAGATAAATAAATATTCAAGCTGTAATTTTTGCTGCCAACATTTTAAAGAAAGTTAATTGCACTGGTGAAAGTCGATGGCTAAACACCTGGAAACAGTTTGCTGAAGTGCTAAACCACCTTTTGATAGGGATACTCTCTGTACATCTGCAGAAGACTATTTGTTTAAGTTCAGTTTATTCAACAACTAGCTCAATTCAAAAATCAGTTCATTCCAATTTGAGAAACTGAGTGGGAGTTAGGAAGAGGAAAACAAGCTTTCCTTCTTTTTATCTATGAACTCCCACTCAGTTTCTCTTTCATGGTGAGAGAAACTTTATTAGTACAGTAACCAAAGAGAATCAAACTTTCTTTAGCAAAATAACTATAGATCACAAGTGCAAAACAAGATTAAAATCTATTTAAGTCAAGGTTTCCCACTTGCTGATTTTAATCATTTTCATTTAAGTCAAGCCACCCTGCTTCCAGGAGCCCATAAACACTGGCACATTAATGCTTGGTCTAGACCAGTGGTTCTCAAACATTTTTTTCCCCCCACGGACCACTTGAAAATTGCTGAGGGTCTCCGTGGACCACTTAATGATCTTTCCAAGTGTTATCTGTACCATTAGCTAACTATTGTAAAGCGCTTTAGATAGAAGCGCTATATAAGAAAATAAATGTTTTCTTCTACAAACAAAAGCACACAACTCATACTTTAATAGCAGTAGTCTTACCTTTCTAATGCGATGGATGGATGTGCCCTCTCCCCCACCGCAGCAGCCCCTGAGCCGGGGCATCTCCCTTGCCACGGGCTGGATAGGTGGCAGGGGGTGTGTGTGGGGTCTCTCCCTCTTTCCCCTGCCACAGCAGCCACAGAGCTGAGGCTATCTCCCCCGCTGTGGCAGTCAGAGCTGAGGCTGGGAAGGAGGGCCATCTCTCCCCAGCAGCTGCAGCCCTGGAGCTGGGGAATGTTGCCTCTTTCTCTGGCTGCCACAGCCCTGCACACTGCCTATTCCCACTCAAAGACCACCACCTCACCTTACATGTGTGCCTTCTCCAGGGTCCAGACACCTAATTAGCAGAGCCACGCCTGCACATCTCCACTAATTAGGTGCATGGTCCTTCATTCTCTCATGTGTGGCCACACAGGCACGCACCTTAGGGGGAACCATCCATCGACCACTTGAATGGAGTCTGTGGACCACTAGTGGTTCACAGTTTGAGAACCTCTGGTCTAGACAAGGCTTTTTAACCTTAAAAGTATTTCCATCACTGCAACACTGGTGGAACTACTAGAATTACCTACATTGGTGCTTCCACTAATGGAGCCACACCAGTGGCATCTTGGTTTCCTTTTGTTTGGAATTTTTCCAGGTTGTGGGGAGATAAAGAAAAAAATTTCTGTGGACAAAGCCCATTGCTCTCTCCAGGTAATAGCACAGCATTTGCTTGGGCTCACAACCATCCTGAACGGGAAGGGAGGCAAAAGTCCAGGTTCTATAGGCTCTGAAGTGCCAAGAATCCTTTTGCTCCTGAATGAAGTCTGGTGCCATGACAACCAATAGGTAGAAGTCCACAAAAGCTTTTGCACATAGAACTGTAAAACTATTACTGATGAGCCAAGCCCATAGTGGAGTACTCAAACATACTGCAACTTCAAAACAAGAATAAAACAAAGACATTGTTCTCTAAGCTGTGATTTAATCACTCAGTTTAATAGTTTTAAATCAATAGCTTTGAGTTTTTTTCCCCCCCATTAAGAAACGCTTTCAGAGAAGTAACAGAAATGATTGTTCTGTCAATGTTTCATCAGCCTTTTCTTTCGGCAAATAGAGACGTTTAAATTAGGAAGAGTAAGTGGTTCATTGAAATAATCAGATAGGCAAAAAAGGCGTTTTATAGCCAAAGCTGCAGAACACAGAAATAACTTCCAATCATTTATTGCTTGGAATTGTATACCGTACTAACAACTTGCTCCAAAAATGATCTTGGCTAACGTACCTCAAACAAAAAGAATTACTGAGGATGACACACATTATGGTTTGTGTATACCAGCTCAATATCAGTTTAAATACATTATTTTTAACATAGGAAGCCAGGGCAGCCTTTCAGAAATGTAACTGCTTCAGTGCTGCCCCAGATGTTGCCATTTCAATAATTAAGTGCTCAAGTTCCCCATTCTAACTCTGGTCTTGGAATTTTCTCATTATGCAGACACAAGCAATTGATGTGGTCAACAGTACTGTTTCCTAATCTTGACAGCAAAGATGAGCAGTCTAAATACCACTGGTCATAAGGTTAAGATTTTGTCATGGTTATTTTTAATAAAAAAAAGTCATGGACAGGTCATAGGCAACAAACAAGAATTCATGAAAGCCCACGATTTTTACTAAAAATAACCGGGGGGGGGGGGGAGACGACTGAAGCCTGAGCCCTGCGCGGGAGGGGGGCTGAAGCCAAAGAAGTCATGGAAGTTTGTTAAAGTCACGGAATCTGTGATCTCCATGACTAAATTGTATCCTTAGTCATTTGTTACCTTATCAGTGAACTGATGACATTAAGTCAAACAAAATAAAGTGCCTGACAAATATTTAGACTTTAAGTGGAATGTGTTTACATTAATAAAATACTCATCACTGCTAGAACATTTTCCATCCCTAGACCTCCAAGTGCTTTACAACAGTAGGCAAGTATCCTCATAATTTGGCAGATAAGGAAACCAAGGCATATGATGTTTAGTGACTTGCCCAAGGTCATACAGTAAGCCAATGGCAAAGCCAGGAAGAAAATCCAAATCTCCTGGGGTCCAGTTCAGAGCCCTTTCCTCCAAACCATGCTTCCTCCCTTTAAACACAGCTGGGAAGAAGAGAGTTCCACCTTCATTCACTTCATGTGCAGAGTTCGAGCTTCTGTGGATCCCAACCACAGAGCATAGAACTTTCAACTATGCGCAGCTCTGACCTACTGAGGCAGAGCAGAAAGAGGGCAGTAATCTTGATAATTCCAGTTCCTCTGGGTGTTAGCGGAATGTGTAACTCCTTACCATAAAACCCTTTAAGAGCCTCCTAGCCCCCAACACATAGTCAGAAAGCTGTAACATTTTTCTTAAGTATCAAAATCCCATTACCTGGCAAAGAAGCTAGTGAAGGGTCCCAATATTTTCAACTTACTGTCCGCATCTACTTCTTGACAACATGCCTGCTGGCTTTGATCATTGGTCTCCTTAGTGGGATTCAATGTAACATCTGAAAACTGTGCTTCATCACTCTCCAGGGTCACTATTGCACTTGAGCTGCTTGTGACCATGAAGTCCAAAATGTCCTCATTGCTAACAGATAAAGTTGTTGACAGTTCTGTGCTGAGACTAGACACACTACAGACAGAGATATCATCACTTCGGTTCAAAGCTTTGGAAGTTGGACTGTATAGTTTCACTGTGTCGTATCCAGTTCTTGGAAAAGTTGAGGACTTTTGTACACTGTGTTCATGTTCAGCATTCAAAGAAAGTGGAGGCACATAAGACAGCAGCATGCATGCACTCTGAAAAGTTCTCTCAGGCATGATTTCAGGCTCAGACTGTTTTCTCTTCACATTTAACATACTGCAGTGAACAGGCTCCGGATTCCCTATTTCTAGAGTTGGAATACCAGAATCTACAGATTTAAGGCTATGGCTATCTTCTAAAGCACTAGAGTGCTGACTAGGTCCATACTCAGGCAATGAGAGCACTCTTGGGGCCCTTGAATTCAAGTTTTGAAGACTCTGGATACTGTTGCCCACTTTGGTGTCCAGAATTCCCATCAAGCTCAAACCATTTAAGGAGTTGGATACATTTACATCAGCCATCTTGGTCCAATTGGTGTTAACTATTAAAAGGAAAGAACAGTTTTGTTTTATTAAACACTTTAAAGTCTCTTATTAAAGAACTAAATTACTAATTATCTAGCAGTCACACATTACCTAGGGAAAAATCATACACAGAGAATAAACCAAGTAACTGAGGTGGAAGGGCACTGGCAACTGAATCATATGTTAGTAACAACATAAATCAGTTTATAAGAACTAAGGTTACTACAAGTGAAAATGTTTTCTCTTAAAAAACTACTTCCTTGTCATTACTTATACTCTTTACTTTGTATACTTCTCTCAGCATGTCAAGTGAAAATTCAGCACCATCAGTTTCACTTTCAGTGCTTCCATGACGGGGGTTTCAAAACAGGTGTTTTCAATGGAATCTTAAGGTATCAAGAAAGCTTTACAGTGACCCAGGAGCTTTACTTTAGTTACGTTGCATCATAACATCTGTATAAAGGTGGACCTTTTCAATTCTCTCAGATCAATGTGCATAATCAGATTTTTTTTACATTTGGTATGCCTCAGGAGAGTGCAGGGTAGGATTAGTGATCCAAATTTGGAACCAGTTGAGATCTATGGGTGCTGGAGATATATGCCTCCCTCCCACAACCATTTTAAAGAAAGTTTCTAGGTGGGATTTTTTTTTTTTTTTGGCCCAGAGGTAAAGATCAAACTATTTATGTGATCTGGGTCAGAATGGTGTCAAACTATCAAGTTTTACCTAAGGTAGTGCATGGCACCGACGAAGACTCCGGGGGAGCCAATTTGAGAATTTTTTTTTTTTTTTTAAATATACACACTGCACATGCACCATTACAGAAAAACAGCTAGAGGGCTTCCATTCCCGCCAATTAATATAGTTTAATATCGATTCTTGTAACTGCGCTACAATCCAAACAGTTACTCAGATTGCTTTGAAATTTGGTGTGCCGCATGGAGGCACCGGGCAGCCTAAGTAATGCAAATTTGAGGTCATTTGATTTAGGGGTTTCCAAGTTACAGAGGGCCCCCCCAAAAACCCAATTTCCTTCTACTGCTTTGTGCTGTTAAACTAAGAGGTAATAACGACTGGATGAATCACAGACCTGTTGATGGTCGAGAACTCACCCTTCTTTAACCTATCTAAGGGCTTGTCTACAATGACAATTTACAGTGTTGCAATTTTCTCGCTCAGGGGTGTGAAAAAACACACACACATACACACCCTTAGCGCTGCAAGTTTCAGCGCTGTAAAGTGCCAGCGTACACAGTGCACCAACGCCGGGAGCTATGCCCCTCGTGGAGGTGGTTTTGTTTAGAGCGCCGGGAGAGAGCTCTCTCCCGGCGCTGCGCCGCGACCACACAAGGCATGTTAAAGCGCTGCCGCGGCAGCACTTTAGTGTTGCCAGTGTAGACTGGCCCTAAGGATAAATTAACCCCAATACCACACCTAAGACAAAAGGAGTTTTGAACAGAGTGGCTGGAGGTTGCCGCAATTTGAGAGTCATGGGTGGCAATTTAATCGGGGGGGGGGGGGGGAGAGAAAGAGTTGAATCTTTCCTGGGAAGAGAAGGTATTGGGGGTGGAGAAGAGAGGTCTGGGGCTGCAGCGAGGGGAAGAGGATTATGTGGCCATATGGATTAATAGATAGGCGAGAGAGGTTGGGAACTCAGGTGAGGGAGGCATGGCACCCCCTACCTGTGACAGTACACCACCAATCCCCCGCACACTCAAACACACCTTTACCAAGAAGGCCCAACTACTACCTCCACCATTTAACTTAGGTGCACCTAACACACTGACTGCACCTGGAGTAGAAGCAAATAAATTCCCACTGGTTACTGCCAGCTGCAAGAGAACAACAGGAAAGTATGCGTATGCAACTGCCCTCCAACTTTTGTCTTTTAATAGCATTAGACTGAATCCTGTAGGTCAGAGTGAATGGGTTGTACAAACTCCTCAGCTCCTTTGCCAACCCCACAGTTGCTGAAACATAAGAGCAAACGAATGTGGGTTAATGGGGCATATCGGGGCATTGCTAAGGTTGCATGGTGAACCTTAGCTCTGCCTTTTCCTTGTTTTCAGATGTTTGAGTTTAGCTCAATGCAATGTTCTGCATGGGGATGACATACTACCAAGCAAGCTTAACTTAATGTGGCTTTTTCCATTGAATATTTATTGGTTTGGGGCTGTTATAAAGCTATTTTCACAACATTTAAACCTTGGCCCAATTTTAATCTGCAGTCTATTGAACATCAATTTCTTGACATCCACCTGGAAAATATCAACTCTGTGAAGAAATACTTATGCCATTCAACTTAAACTTGCCTTATTAAGCAAATCAACTTTGTTTCTTTTCAGTCCACCCCACTTTTATGTTTCCCTTAACATGTTGCTGCCATTTAAGTATAGGTCAATACTTAAGGCTTTTCCTATCTTTCTTTTATAGGGATAATTTGTTTAGTTGCATTTTAAAAAGAACAGTTACTCTAAGAAAATTCCCAAAGTTCTAAAAGCCAACTAAATTATATACATTCAAACCAACCAATGCATCAACTGGCCATTCCTTTTGCTATAGGACATCATATTTAATAGGCTAATTTGTTAGTCAAATGAGACAAAAGTGAATACTACCAAGATTGTGAGAGTTAACTTGTCCTGTGCTTTCCCAAGACTTGATTATTGTGGCTATTTTGTTGTATTGTCAGGGCTTGAAAAGATCAGCCTAGTCCTAGTAGCCCAAAAAGACTAAGGCCTTTGTCTTCACTTGGAAACAAGCTGTATTCTTACCTTTTAAAAAGAAAGATAGCACAAGATAACGAACATGAGGAAAAATACTAGTAAAGATAAGGCACTTGTAGTATTAACTTAACACTGGCCTGGTCTACACCTAAAACTTAGGTTCAACTAGCTACATTGCTATGGGGTGTGAAAAATTCACACCCCTTAAAGACATATTAAGCTGATCTAAGCCGTGATGTACACACCACTAGGTTGACAGAAGAATTACTCCATCGACACAGCTACCACTTCCAGGGGGTGGATTTACTATAGTGATGGGAAAACCGTTTCCATTGCTGTATCAAGTGTCTACACTACAGCCTCAGAGCTGCAGCTGTGCCAGTGTAGGGCTTGTACATTGGATATACCCACTAGTAACGTATAATAGTAAGGATCCCTCTCCTTAGAGTTTACTTTGACCTACTAATGTAGTGAGAACGACACAGGGCCTTACCTTTACTAAGATTTTACCTGAGTTACCACACATTAACACACCTTCTTCCTAACATGGACACACCCTAATAGATAGGATCAAAAATGTCCACAACGCCACGCTGCCTCCCAGTCACATCCTCTGCAATTTAAAGAGTCACACACTGTGTGCTACCAATTGCAACATGTCCAACTTTCTATTTTAATATATTAAAAATACAAGGATCAGCAACTTCATAGCTGAAATACAAGTTTATTGAATCCATTTGATTAATTTCACCAGTATTCTAGCATTTAACAAGCTATAAAGATGGCTTGATAACTTAATCAACAAATGCTACTTAGTGGTAAGACAATATTTTAATTTTTCTGGTCTTTATCAGTTCTTTTTTGATTAGCCCTACTTACTGCATCTCTCACTTAAGTTAAACCCTTTTTACTGGTCCCACTTCAATTTTTCTTCTTTTCCAGAACAGATCAATCAGCATGTCTTTTCCAGAGATATCTTCACTATCTGTTCTTCTCTTCCCTATGCTACGTTCTCAGTCACACATCACCTACATATTTGTAAAAAGAAAAAGGAGTACTTGTGCCACCTTAGAGACTAACAAATTTATTTGAGCATAAGTTTTCGTGAGCTACAGCTCAATTCATCGGATGCATGCAGATACAGACTAACACGGCTGCTATTCTGAAACCTACATATTTGTCTCTCCTTATTTCTCAGCACAAAAGTTTCTCCTTAGTATATATGCACACACACACAAAAAAAAAACCCACTTACTTTCACCCTTAATTAACAAATCAAATTTTTACTCATACCCATCCATGCAGCTACACTACGCTGAGAAACTTAAGCATACACCTGAAAGTCAAATGACTAAACCTACTAACCATCGACCAACATGAACAGTCCCCTTGTCCAGGGCAAAACTCACATGATCAACCTGCTCCCCCAATTCTGCTGGGAAATGAGGAAGGCACTGAGATTCCAAGAGGAGCACTGACCCTATACTCTGCTTTGAATGCGCTCTCCCCCAGTCTTTAAAAACAAACCAAAAAAGCAAACCAAAAAAACACAGCATCTTCTGACTAGCTGATCGGATAGATCTGAAGCTCCTTACTCCCCTTCCCTCAACATCACCCATATTTTAATCATTCTCTCTGATTCCCTCTCCTACCTCAGTAGGAAATTTCTGCTACTTCACCACTCCACAAGCCTTCTGGCTACTGTAATGCAAGGAGGGGGAGACAGCCTCACTATTCTACCCTTCCCTCAACTTTCTGGTTGATACCAGGGGATGTCTCTGCAGTATGTCCCCCAGTCTGTGTGTTTAAGCTCTCTTCCCCAATGAAGAACTCCAGATGTCTGCCTCTGCTGCTGCTTAGTGCTTTCTCAAGAGGCAGCAAAGTGAAAGTGACCTGTTACTCCAGTTTCACTGCTGTTTTATCATGTGGTTCTTCGCAGGATACTTACAAATAAGCATTCAAGTGTTCTTGCTCAAAGCAAGAGAATACAGTAGCTCAAGAGGCTGATGAACCGTTTTCTAATAGTAAATTGATTCTTAGATAAGTCAAAGTAGGTTTCAACACAGCACCGCGCAATTGTTCTGACTTGGTTTAAAAATTTCTTCCTTTACGCAGGAAACATAACAGGAAGAGTTGCTTTAAGTATGCAATCTGTAAAAGCAGAAGTAAGTACAACTACAATTTTCTTTAATGTTTTATACAGCAGAAAGCTACAGAATGTCATACATTTGCTGTACAATATATAAATTAAAGCAACAGACAGTATCCAATTGTCAGTAAAAAAAAAAAAAAAAACATATGGAACTTACATTCAGTTTATTATGCCTGTGCCCAGGCCAGGATGTTTGTTTTAATATAGTGAAAGGATATTTGTTTTCCAGATCTGATAAATGCAGCCTCTGGAAATTGATGCTGACAATTCCAAGCGTTGTTGTTAATGCTACTCCCAATACTGACGTCTTCCCTAATTTGTTTATGATCAGCATGGCAAACTGTTAGGGCTACATCTCATCAGAAGTCTAGTGCTCTCATGCTATATACTGCAAATGTAACAGTTTTACTGTAGAACAAGACAATTCTGATAGAAATGCAACATCTCATTAATAGTAGCCTACCAGTTAAAGCAGGAAACATGCAGTCAAGTCTTTTGGGTTCACGAGTCCTAGCTCTGCCACAGATTTGCTTTGCAACTCTGGGCAAGTGACTTAACTTTTTGTTTTGACCCCCATCCCCAATCTACAGAACAGGGTTCATATTTTGGTGGTACTCAAAGAATTAATGTTTGTATATTGCTTTGGGAGCCCATAAGAACTAGACAGAGTTTGGGCCATCTTGCATAGTTACCTCCATACTCCTGCCTGAAAAATAAATGACCATTGTATTTTAGGACCAATACAACCTTTGAACTGCAAAGTGATTACGTTATACATATATATAGAGTGTCAAAACCACTCTTCAGGAAAATGACTAGTATTCAGAGGAACAGCCGTGTTAGTCTGTATTCGCAAAAAGAAAAGGAGTACTTGTGGCACCTTAGAGACTAACCAATTTATTTGAGCATAAGCTTTCGTGAGCTACAGCTCACGAAAGCTCATGCTCAAATAAATTGGTTAGTCTCTAAGGTGCCACAAGTACTCCTTTCCTTTTGACTGTAGTATGTTTCACTAAGTATGCCATATTCATGTACATTACGTACATACAGTGTACACATGTTAGAAATCTCTACTGCAAATGATCTCAGTGTACATTTAAACTGTGTAAAAGGAAATCAATATGCATGAAAAGCATGCAATTTTGGGCATTCAAACAGAATGTAAAAGCAGGCCTTCTGGGAGGAAAACAGGTTAATACTGCAGCACTGCCTGTAACAAATTCCTTTAACTTGAACATAATGGATCTGAGACAAGTTAACAGCTTGTGACAAAAAAAGCCCACGCGGAGATATATTAGTTAAGCCAGTGTTCATCAGTGCAAAAACTTTAATGGAAGAAATTTGTTTTAAATGGAAAAAAATCCTATGTAATTTTTAACTCTGACACCGGAGCCAAACCTCTCCCCCACAAACCAGACTGCTGCAGAGCAACACTCCCTGAACTTTTACAAGTCCAGCTACGGGTTGGAGAAAAGGATAATGAGCACAGGTTTTGAAATGACAAAACTATTTCCCCCTTTTCCCCTCATGTCAAACAGTTCGAATGAATCAGTGTTATAATAAACCTCTGTTCTAAGAGTAATGTACAGTTTTCCAATAATACTGAAAACAAATATAAGGCCATGTCAAATTACCAGTATTCTATCATAAGAGACCACTTTAACAATATCCCATGCACTCTCCAGTACCATTTCACTGAGTTTTTGAAGCCCAATTAATAGAGCTAGTGGAAAACCATTGTTTCCATATGACAGGGTTCAAACTGGATCCATATTTTTAGTTTTGCCACTTCAAAAAACACACACACACACACACGAACGTTTCTGAGAAGGGTTGCATAAAAAATTCAGAAAGTTCAATACTTTTTCATAACTTTGTTTTTACCATTTTTGACCAACAGGAAAAAAAAGGAAAAAAAAAGGGGGGGGGGGAAGGTGTCTTAATTTTTTCGACCAGCTGTACCAACTAGTTCTCTCTCTCCCCCAGCCTCCCCACCTCCCACTTGCTAACTGAAAGCCCCCCCGCCCCGGGGAGCGGCAGAAGGCGCCTCACCGAGCGGCCCGAGAGAGTCTGGGAAGTATGCCTCTCAAGCGAAAACGGAGGGGACCGCGAGGAGCTCCCCGAGCCGGCTCCCCGCGGGCCCCAGCTGACAAGCCCAAGCGCCACCCATCGCGGCTCGGAGCAGCCAGCCGGTGATTCGAGCGAGGCAGTGAACTCGCCGAGCACCCGGGGGGCGGGGCGGCTCCTGCTGAACCCGTCGGGTGGAAAGTTTCGCACGGGCGCATCCGGGGTGCCCTCACCGCAGGGCCGCCGGACGGGAGCCGGGACTCGCCTTTGTTCCTGGCCATGCCAGGTTTCCACTACCGCGCTGGCAAGCAGCGGAGGGGTCACCGCACGTCTCCCTTTCAGCCCCGGGGCAGAGTCACCCTCTCCCGCCCCCCGAGGAGAAAAACTTCCCCGGCTGGACGTCACCTGGGTAGCTCTGCCGTCCATTGGTCTCCTCAGGCCGGGCCATGCCCAGCCCTCCCCGCGGCGGCGGCGGCGGAGCTAAGGGGCAGCCGGGGGCTGGTCCATTCTCCGCCTGGTCCGGGAGCCTCGGCTGCTCAGCGGGGGTGCGGCGTCTCAGCCCCTGCCGGCAGGGAGCCACCCCCAGCGGGGAGCAGGCCCCCCATCCCCAGGACACACACACAGCCCGCCGGGCTGCAGGGAGAGGGGCGGCGGGGGCGGGGGCGCTCGCGCTGCTCGGCCGCTGCCGCCGGGCTCTTCCGGGAACAGTCACGTTCTACCCAGCCCCGCCTCTCCTGCAGCTGTTCCACCTTCGCGCCGCTCCCCCTCCGCCGCGGGAGCAGTCCCGGTCTGCTGTTCCCCACGCTTGTCTCTTCCCCCACCGCTGACGCCAATCCTCTCTGTTGCCGCTGTTCCCCTTCCAGCAGCTCACTGGCCCCGCCCGCTACCGAGAGAAGCCAATCGGCGGCGAGAGAGCGAGCGACGGGAGAAGCGTTTAAGCACGCGAGATAGGGCTTGCAGAGGGAGGGGGCGGAGCTAGCCGGACCCGGCTTGGCTTCCCCGCGGCCAGGCGCTGTACCTGTTCCGAGTAGCTCCGCCCACCGCCATTTTGAATTCTCGGGGGTTGGAGGGCGCGAGGAAGGGGAGACTAATGGAGCGGCCGAGAGCATGGAGCAGCGTGGGGCCCCTGTGTTGCTGTGGCTGCCCCGCTGCATGGGAGGAGGGGGCCTGCGGTGAAGCAGGGAGACCCCGGGCGACTCTGAGGCGAGGAAAGCGACCGTCTCTGCGGGTCTTTGTCACCCGGTGGCGATTTATCAGGGAACCCGGACAGCTGAGAGAAAACGCCAAGTTCAGACAGGCAGAGAGCGCCCTACCTGGCAGCCCGTGGGAGCCCCAGAACGGGCCGGTGACACAGACCCAAAGCGGGGGGCACAAAAAGCCCACCCACTTTGGAAACCTAACATGGAGGGAGAGGCTTTATTTTGGTGTAAAATAAGCTCAAGTTTCGGGGAGGGGCTTATAAAGTCTTCTCACAAAAAGTTGGAGATAGAAGCATCTTCCATCACCACCCCCAGTGGGTTATTGAGGGAGCTGCGGCCCTGCTGTTGCATAGACACTTATTACAGCGACAGGAGGGGTGTTCAGTTGCTGCAGTAAATCCACCCCTTCGAGAGGCGGTAGCTAGGTCTATGGAAGAACTCGCCTGCACAGGGCGTGACATTTTTCACAGCCCTGAGCAGTGTAGCTAGGTTGACCTGTTTTAGGTGTAGATGGGAAAGCTAAGGGAGAGATTTCAGAGTAACAGCCGTGTTAGTCTGTATTTGCAAAAAGAAAAGGAGTACTTGTGGCACCTTAGAGACTAACCAATTTATTTGAGCATGAGCTTTCGTGAGCTACAGCTCACTTCATCGGATGCATACCGTGGAAAGGGGGAGAATTTACTGACTTGATAACAGAAGTGTTCAGGACCAGATTTGCAAAGGAGCTCAGCCCACTGGGTCCATAGTGCCTTTGAAAATCTTACCTGGCTGGTATTTGGATCCCTAAATGGGAGCTAAGCTCTTTTGGAAATCTGGTCCCATCTGTAATGCCAGAAGTGGAACCTCTGGAATGATAAGAACTGTTGGTTCTTGCAATATGTACTTTCCTTCTCTTCCTGTCACCTCTCTCTGTTTTATCCCCTCTTTGTCCATCTCTACCCTCTCTCCTCTTTTGGTTTCCATCTCTTCACCCCTATACATTTTGAGCACCACGTGCAAAATGCTATCCACCTGTTTCCACATTGATAGCAATATCAGTATAGCTCTTAGCATACTGCAGGATCAGACCACTAACGTTTCCTTCCTTTCTCTAGGCTGTCATCAATGTAATTACAATACACACTTGCTTTAGACTATGGCTACATTATGAGGCTTTAAACGACACAGCTGTCCTCCATGCCACTAAAAGACACGCAGTGTAGCTGCTGTTTGTCAGCAGGAGAGTGCTCCTGTCATCAAAGCGCTGTTCACACCATCACTTTTCGTTGGCAAAACTTTTGTTGTTCTGTGTGTGTGTGTGTTTTTTAACACCCCTGAATGACAAAAGTTTTGCCGATGAAATGCCAATATAGACAAATCCTACTGCCACCCCGCCCCCCCGAGCACCACCCGAGGAGAAAAACTTTTAAGACTGGACTTTACCTTTCTACTATAAATTGGAAGTCAATTTTGACAAGCCACTATTTTTTTTTTTTTTTAGTTAAATGAATGTTATTTCACTGATGATTCAACTCATAGGGTCATGAAAAGTTTGAGCACTATCATTAACTGACGAGTACCTTCTGTTGTGATTTTTCATAATTGTCATTTAAAGTAGTTTCAGCCCTTACGTACAGCAGGAGAGCAAGAAGTATGTTGCATTCCTATGTAACAAATGAATAATCTCTGTTATCTTCAGTCATGCTGAGACAGGATAATTCACTGCTGAAGACAAATGTCAGAAATGAGATCGGCCGTCGTGCTTTCTCTCTGTGTGTAGAATTAGTGTGTGTGTGAGAAAATGGCTAATGAACAAGATAGAGTAAAAAGGGAACCATGAGTGGAATTGATTGGTACCATTGAGTTCTAGCACTGGGCAATAAGATGATTCGATCAGAAAATATGCATATCACACAAGTGAGTGCTGTGGTCTGCAACACATAGGCAGAATTCTGGGTCTCTCTGTTTGACCTCAATTAATGCTGCTTTTTGCAGAGTTAGTTTTTGCCTGTGTTCTGGCCAGCTGTGGTCATCAATACATCTCCCACACAGCCACCACCTGCATGGATTATTCCTTACAGAAATATCCTTCTGTGAATCAGTGTCTGAGAAATGGCAACAGCACAGGTCTGGGTGAACCAGAGTCAGGTGAGAGAAGTGCCCCTTATTGTCGTCCCCCCTCCCACGCCCAATCTGTCTGCCTCTTTCCTACACATGTAGCAGGACAGCCAAAAATTAACTTTTTCATGCAGCAGGATGGGCTAAGTAAAATCAGGCATGTAGCACCATTATTGTTAACACCTAGATTATCATTGGCAGAGGTGAGGGGGAGCACCTTAGCAGGTGCTGGGGGACCCTAATTTTATTGTGCTTTTAACCATGTAGGGTGGCAAGGTGAATGGGGGACAGGAAAAAGGGGGAAGACTCTTAGATGGAGTAAGATATTGTAGCACTTTCAAATATCCCCTGGACAGACAATAGTCTTATCATAACACACACACCCAGCAATTCCACAGTGAAATCCGTGTAATCAAAATCACCCAGTGTTCAGCATACGCAACAAGCCACTAAAGCAATGCTTTTTCCAGCTGTAGTATGTTCTAGTTTGTTAGAAAGTGCTCAGAACTTGAAAAACAAGCTCTATTGAATTGTAACAAACTAACTTTGAATTATTTTTAAAAGAAGCAAGAAATTCCAGTGGTTAGAGAAGACGGTTACAGTGCTAGGAACAGAAACTATCCTGAGTCCCAGTTTTGCTTTGAGTTGAGGCAAATCATGTCATCTCCCAGTGCTACAGTTTCCTCTTCTTGGGGATACTACTGGGACAGTGGCAGACCAGTTGCCAGCTCATGCCAATGCCCCTAGGCCTCACTGAACACTGACAAATCCATAGCTGGAACCAGTCTAGCTAACCTGTGTGCTAGCATTGTTAAAATAGTTGTTATGTTGATAAGAATGTGTTTAGGCTTTATGAAATGCTTGTGGGATGCTACATGTATTAATCTTACTAATACTATCTGTATTGTATGTTATAAGGCAGTGGCTCTCAGAGGTCTTCCAGGGAGTACAATAGGCTACATAAAAAGCACTAGTGAAGTCAGTAAAAACTAAAATTTCATACAATGACTTGTTTATACTGTTCTGTATACACTGATATGTAAGTACAGTATTTATATTCCAATTGATTTATTTTATAATTATATAGTAAAAATGAAAGGGAGCAATTTTTCAGTAATAGTGTGCTGTGAGACTTATGTATTTTTGTCTGATTTTGAGTACTGTACTAAATAAGTAGTTTTTAAATGAGATGAAACTTGGGGTACACAAGACAAACCAGACTCCTGAAAGGGGTACAGTAGTCTGGAAAGGTTGAGAACCACTGTTATAAGTTTCAGAGTAGCAGCTGTGTTAGTCTGTATTCGCAAAAAGAACAGGAGTACTTGTGGCACCTTAGAGACTAACATTTATTTGAGCATAAGCTTTCGTGGGCTACAGACCACTTCGTCGGATGCATAGAATGGAACATATAGTAAAAAGATATATATACATACAGAGAACATGAAAAAGTGGAGTAAGAGGCTAATTAATTAAGATGAGCTATTATCAGCAGGAGAAAAAAACTTTTGTAGTGATAATCAAGATGGCCCATTTAGACAGTTGACAAGAAGGTGTTAGTATACTTAACTTAAGGAAATAGATTCAATATGTGTAATGACCCAGCCACTCCCAGTTTCTATTCAAAACCAAGTTAATGGTACCTAGTTTGCATATTAATTCAAGCTCAGCAGTTTCTCATTGGAGTCTGTTTTTCGAAGCTTTTCTATTGCAAAATTGCCACCTTTAAGTCTGTTACTGAGTGGCCAGAGAGGGTGAACTGTTCTCCTACTGGTTTTTGAACGTTATGATTCCTGATGTCAGATTTGTGTCCATTTATTCTTTTGCGTAGAGACTGTCTGGTTTGGCCAATGTCCATGGCAGAGGGGCATTGCTGGCACACGATGGCATATATCACATTGGTAGATATGCAGGTGAACAAGCCCCTGATGGTGTGGCTAATGTGATTAGATCCTATGATGGTGTCACTTGAATAAATATGTGGACAGAGTTGGCATCAGGCTTTGTTGCAAGGATAGGTTCCTGGGTTAGCGTTTATGTTGTGTGGTTGCTGGAGAGCATTTGCTTCAGGTTGGGGGGCTGTCTGTAAGTGAGGACTGGTCTGTCTCCCAAGATCTGTGAGAGTGAGGGATCATTTTTCAGGATAGTCTGTAGATCTTTGATGAGGTAATAGGTTAAGTGTTTGCTGTGTAACTATAAAAGTGTTTGCTAAAACTGTAAAACCCAGTCAGGAGAGAAGCATTACAAGTGTGAAATGCTAATTTATCACAAGAGGTGTCATCTCCTGCCCAGCAAAACAAAGCCAATAGACACCAGACAAGCCCTTTTGGAACATCAGTGTACAAAAGACTTTGTTGATTGCTCCCCCATGCCTTTGGAGACCTGCACAAAACTTCTCCCATCAGCTTGAGCTCTGGGGGAGGGACATAAAAATCCATGTAAAGAAAAATTATCACTATCAAATTGCTTGGAATTTGGAGAGGGCAATGTTTCTAAGCAGAAGAAAGGAATCCACAAGCTGTTTAGCTTAGGTTA